AACTGAATTCAGTGTTGCACACACCCAAACTTCAACTAAAAGCAAAACAAACCAAAACAAAAAAGCTGTGTGCTTCTACAGGACAACTTTCGAGTTACTAGTGGTAACCGGGGCTAGGCTGTTGTTCATCTATTGTGAGAACAATTTCTGAATTTCTTTGGAGTGATGCAATGCTAGGTGTAAAGTATTTCGAAATTTTCAAAATATTTACCTGCAAAAAGATGTAAGTTACTTTCTTCAGAAGACTCTGATATTGCTGCCGAAAATCTAAATCCTACAAGGTAGGTTGTATGATGATCATCTTTGATAGCAATTAAAATGAGATGCTTTGACATCTTGAAAGCATTAAATGTAATTATATTAACTTAAGAAAGCGAGGAAAAAGACATTGCAAATGGGTTTAAACAATGGAATCTCTTAAATTTATATTCTTAACAATTTTTATGGGAAAAATTGTATCTTTTTACTAATGCAGCATCTCAAGTATTACAAAGAAAATGAATCGACTTGAATGAAGCTCATCAATATCTAAAAAGTGTGTCTATCATTATGCAAAATATGAAAAACAAGTTTGAAGATATTGGGAAAGAAGCTGAGTTTATTGCAAATAAATGGAACACAGAAACTAAATTTGAAAATGAAAGAAAAATAAAGACAAAACAATTGTTGGATGAGTTATGTAAGGATAACAGTTTTGAAAATTCCGAAATATCTTTTAAAGTAACAGTTTTTTATGCTGCTGTTGATATTTCAAATGCTCAGTTAAAATATAGAATGACTGAAAATGTCAAACATTGCAATAGCGTTTTCCTTTTTGGAACCTAAAACTCTGTCATCATTAACAAATACGGAAATTATTAATAATGTTTCAAAAATACAGAAAACATATAAAGAAGACTTTACTAATGCACTAAAAGTACAACTACTATTATTTATAAATACTTTCAGAACAGAAGTCCAAAATTTGATATCCTTGTAACCACAGCTACAAGTGAAAGATCATTTTCAAAACTAAAACGAATAAAAATATATTTGAAAAACACAATGACATAAAATCGGTTGTCAAACCTATCACTATTGAGTGCAGAAGCTGAGATGGCTGAGAAAATGGACGTCCAGGTATTGATAAATAATTTTGTAGAAACGAAGGTTAGGAGGCGCAAATTTTAAATAAAGAAGCACTTTTGATTTTATGATGAATTTTGACCACCAGTGTTATAATTTCATTTAATTATGGAAAACAATAGAGAAGAGCAGTATAGATGGAGAAGAATTAATAGGAAACAGAAAAAAAAATACCGTACATAATTTTCTAAAAATCATGTATTCAATTAGTTTAGTGTACCAAAACGTTTGTAAAAAGTGAGGAAAAAAATTTACCATGTATATTTTCTACAAAAATTATACGTTCAAATAGATTTCTTTATATAATTTATGATAAATATGTTTTATATTTAAAAAATGTATCATTTACATTACAAAAGTTCTTATTTATTACATGGTATATTACTGCATATGCCATGTTCTTAAGCTGAGTAAGTCACAGAGCACTATAGTTTAATGTAATTTCTTTTTGTCCGTTTACCTATCGCTCAGTTTATAACATAACCAGTTATTTATTACTTTACTAAATTAACCGAAGAAATCTTAGGTTGGCGCAGATTTTATATAAAAATTGAATTATTGAAATATATTTGTATGTATATTTCAATATACACTGACTACCAATAAGTATTTGGACACCTGTGATAGAAAAGAAAAACTAACTTTATTCAAAATCAATAGTTGGTAGAGTCTCCACGAGAGGTAATACAGCGTGGACCCTGTGGGGCATACTTTCCACAAGTCTTTGTATGACAGCTAGTAGTATTTTCTTCCACTCGGCTTGGAGAAGACATAGAAGTTCCTTCACCGATTTTGCACGGGTAGTGCCACCCCTGAATTCGGCGATGCAACTCGTCCCAGAGGTCTCGATAGGGTTCGGTCAGTCTGGACTCTGTGCAGGCCAATCCATTCGATGAACTCCATTGGCACCATACCAAGCCTTGGTTAACGTCGAAACATGACAGCTGGCATTGTCGTCCTGAAAGTAACAGGGGTCCAACCCGTAAACCTGCCACAACGTAGGAAGCCCATTGCCATCCGAAATAGTGCAGTAGGCATCGGAGTTGAGTTTACCATGAATGGAGACCAAGGGTCCCAGCCCATACCAGGAGAAACACCCCCAGACCATAATTCCACCTCCGTCGAACTTGACTGTTGGCACAATGCATTCTGGCAGGAGACGTTCTCCAGGTAAACCCCAGACCCAGACCCTGTCATCCGAACAGTAAAGGGTGAAACTTGATTCTTCACTCCAAAGAACCTGTTTCAACTGATCTATGGTCCAATTTCGATGTGCTTTGCACCACATTAACTGAGCAGCGCGTTTGGACTTTGTGATCAAAGGCTTATGGGCAGCAGCACGACCATGAAAACCAAGCAGATGTGCTTCCTTACGGATGGTATTCATTGAAACAATACTCCCGGATGCCTGTTGAAACTCCTCGTGGATGAGGGCCATCGGTTGGGTGCGGTTCTTCCGAATTTCTCTGGACAGCACTCGTTGATCTCTATCTTCCAGTTTCGTTGGTCTGCCGATTCGGGGCACATTCCGACAATCACCGCTCACCTTCCACTTCTCAATCACATAGGCCACTATCGATTTTGGGTACTTCAGATCGCTAGATATGTTCCTTAAGGATCGGCCACATTTGTGATACCCGATAATTATACCTTTCTTGAAATCAGAGAGCTCCGAACTGCATCTTGCATGCGACTAAAGCCGATGTTGTTTTCTTCACGATATATACCTGCGGAGTCCGTGACGTACCTTAGGACCGCAAATATCGTCATTTGCATAGGTGTCCAAATACTTATTGGTAGTCAGTGTATTTGTATGTAAAATGAAAGATATTGAAATATATTCGTATGTAAAACCTACTGGATTTTTTTAATATCTCAGCAAATTCAGGCTTCCTTCCTTTTCTTAATGCTATACTTTACATGGAATGCTCGTTTGTTTATAGACATTTGCTATCACTATTGTTATCATTTGTTATCAGTGAAAAGACTGAATGGAGTTTATCTCAGTGAAAGGAGAGAAAATTTTGTATCGCACATTCGCACGCACGCCTACAAAAAATCTTAAACAAACTGATTAAAATCATCTGATATCAGATATTGCATCCAGACTAAAGTAAATTTAAATTTCACAATTGGTCAAGGGAAAATATTTTCTTTTTTATTTCTTTGTGTTACGTACCTTTCAACTGGTTCCCTAAGAACGTGCTTTGACTTTTTAACATCTACTCTAGATGTCGGTTACTTATCTTTAGCCTAAAGATACTCATTAAATCAAGTAAATGAGACGGCTCGCTTGAAACTGACAAACAAGAAGGGTAAAAGTTTACAATTTGGCGCCCCTTGTTTATTGGCGATTCTTTTTTGACGCCAAGATCGGCGCCAGGAAGCCACAATTTCAAGATGGCCGCTACACAAAACCAAAATAAGAAGTCGAAGAATTGCATAAGATCCGTGTCCATGTACACATCGATCTGTTTTTACTTAAAAAGCATCCTAGAATTCCACAAACTAGGCATTGCGCACTGCCTTAAATATGTCCATGTACACATCAGTCTATTTTCACTTAAATAAAATCGGGAAGCTAAAACAAAGTTAAAACTATCGTGGTAACCAGAAGTGAGGTTTCATCGCCAAAATGTTTTTAAAAATGTCGTCAATCGCAGGGAAACCCAATTCTACACTAAAGCCGACAAGAAGTTTCTTTAAAGGCATAAACACTTTATTTCAATTATTTGCAACAAACCTCTTTCATTACAAACTCATTTCTATTTTAAAAATCTTTAAACTACTGTTCTAATCACAGTCTCGCGATAAACTGAGGCGTTGCCACTCCTTTTCAAACAAAGTACCAACTGAGGCAATTCACTTACCATAAGTGGCGCAACACTAGATCTGATAAAAATCATCATCAAAACATTGGCTCCTGGAACACTTATTTTTTTTTAACTTTTCTCTTTTTCAAGCACAATAAATTTATTAGGGAAGGGGACAGGAAAGTTTTTTGCATAAGAGCCCAAGAGTTCTAGTTACGCCACTGGTGATCGGCGTGTATTTTGGAAGATGATCGGTCTGTTGCATACTTCTTGCAACACCGACGCTAATTCTGGAGAAAAAATTTTAGAAAGCTCACCTTGCATCTCTAGCTATATTGCAGTGCACTAGAGCCCTGACCTAGGCTAATGAGAGTCCTTAATATAGTATATGACGCCTCAATGTCTAGAGACGATCCACGGGGGCGCAAGAGCGCAAAGGCGAACAAAGTCAGGTTTATATATGTGATAGAGTGACTAGGTAACGCGGGCCGTAAAAGACAAACAGAATCACAGTCAGACTTCCTGTGCTGACCAACTGAGGTGAACCCCCGAGGATAACTATTACATAATATACCATGTAGCGATCACACAGCCCGAGAAAGACTTGACAGTATACCGTTACGATCCCTGCCGCGCCTGAACGGACCACCAAATTGTCGATGGCTCTAGTCACTGTGAAGACTGATTATATACTCCAGGAGCCGAGTCTGTTTAAGTACTAGTCTTAGCCAGAACGCCGCGTGTTGCCCCCAATCGACCATCAGCGGGGTGTCTATATTGCAGCTGGTGGTCATTCACTTAAATAATTACCTTGAATATCTGTGATTAAACGAATTTTCTTCCTCTATATACTTCGCGCTTACTTTTCTGCGTTCACATTTCACATTCCAGCCCACACTGTATTATGCGAGTTCTTACTTTTGCGATTTTTGTTATGCTTTAAAACTGGTACCATCGAATCTGTTACAGCCTCTGTAACACTTTTCTGATGAAATGAGCACTTCGCATTTCTATATAATGAAACTGTTTTCTACATGTTATAACCAAAGACTTTTATTTCAGCCGTTCTACACAGCCAAAGAAAATGAAGCTGATATTCTGTCTCGTTACCTATGCAATCCTTCTGTTAACAGCCGATGGTAACGCGGATCATGAGGCGGGTGCCATCGAAAATGATTGTAAGTAAAATGAAGAATTTCGTTTAATGTGAGGTGTATACATATACATGTATAAAACCATTAGTGGTGTAAGAAACAACAAATATTTTAATATCGCTATGCGACTTTCCCCCCTCCAGAGGAAAATTATTTTCCTAAAATCGATTGTTGAAACATCAGTTTTTGCCGTAATAGTAACAACACATTGCATTGTGTGTTAGTTTATTCCTGATTTCACTCATCGTAAAGCTTGATTGTAGCACAGTAACTACAATTCTAATAGGTTTCGAGAATTATTTCTTTGATAAGCGCATTAATATGAATTTTTAAACTTGTTCTCAATTATGCATAAGTGAAAGATTTTTATTGCAGTCTTCTAAAATTTATATTCATAGTTTTCGAAAATTAGAATATCAGAGATATTTAATTACGCGAGATTTTCATTTCGACTATTTTCTGTGTCAGCTTAAAAATCAAAATATATAGCCGATTGATAGTTTACTAGGATAACTTGACTGGGTTGCAGGTTACCCGAGTCTTGTCTAAAAACAGAAGTTAAGTTTGTTTATTGCGAAACAATGTAAAAAAAACATTATCATAGATCATCAGCGTAAAACAAAACTGTCCATCAAAAATACGAGAAGGAGGAGAAACATACGTGTTATAACAGCAGTGGCAGGAGATTATGTCATAGTGTGTAGTAGCTGGTTTTTTTGCATGCCGCTGTGTAATTTAATTATATTTAATCTGGGATTTATAAATATTGTTAAATCATTCTTGTCAAGAAAGTCGATCTTGAAAATGCCTTTTGTATTTTAATCTTTCCAGAAAAATGATAGTAGTAAGAAAAAAATTTCTAGAAGTCGTAATTTTCTTTTCAATATATTATTGATATTTACAAATATGTTTTCTATATTCTTCAAGAAGGAAAATTTTGATTGTATTTAACATCGAATAATAATAACAGTTAATAATACTTAGCAATCTATTCAAGAATTATTTTCATAAAATGTCAGAGCTAGACACTTCTTGAATTTGTTCTGCATGTAGCATGTAATGTTTCAAAAGTCATATCACATTTACTAAAGCGAAACACAATAAAAAAATTTCCTAGGAAAGATACGTCTTCCCCTGGAAATAATTTAAACATCAGTTTTCTAGTCGCAGTGTTTTATGAAGACAGCGAAAATGTTTTGTTTGCTGCAATTTTTCGCGTAGGCTAACCAGTCAGAAGGAAGAAAGATCACAAGACTTAACTGAGTAATCTAATTTCACAAAATTCATGGAAGCAGAAACTCCTCAAAGTTTGCATTCAATGAGGTGTTGAAGGAAACTTTTGTTCACCCTTGATAACAATATATGATGTACAAGGAAACTGCTAATTAAGTAGAAAGCGAAAGTAAGTTTGAGTCTGGGCAAAATGCATGCAGTATTACTTACAATTGAAAAATCATGTTATTGGGGATTCTGTTTCCCTAAATTTAGAGAAAATACGTTTTTCAATTAGCGAATTATATTTTTAAGAGTTTTCCGCAGCCAGAAATATCTTCCTGCTAAGATTAATGATCTCTTTTTTAATATTTATTTAGCCTTACCCTTCGATTCTTTAGTTGTTTCTCATTCACCTTGCCATCACTAAATGTCATTAGAAGCTACGTTTCCTACCATTAAGGTATTGAGTAATGAATTATCACATAGCTTTCGGTCACATTATATTATTAGCAGTCAAAATATGAATTAAATTATCTCATTCGGTACTTAATTTATCAAAATGTTAGGCCGAGAGAATTTAAAAGGTTGGGTAGAGATAGCATTAAGATTAAAATAAGGGAATCTCTAAAAAATGCATACATTTTTTACTTTTTGTGAAAGGCAACATCCAGTTGCCAACAGTTCCATGCATTATCACTCCAAGATCTCATGTGGCCAAAATTGTTATAGTCTACCTTTTTCGATTAATATAGCACATTATCGATTAATTTTAAGCTTATGTTCTACAAAAGGAATGATTTTTACTCTCTGCAGAGAAATTATTTTAATGTCCAGTATCTACGCAACTCTGAAGATCGAAATTATTCACAGAATCCTCGAAAAACGCGCATGGAGCCAGTTCAACTTTATCATTCAGATGTGCCTTTGATTATGCTGCGTTGAAAAGTTGTTTAAGTATTAAATTTTGTTTTTTGCTTTTATAAATTCCCAGAAACCGTCATTGCATATCTGGGAAGATCTAAAAACTATGGTTCGCAACGAGGAATGCAACTTGGGTATGCAACAATATTGTTGCGTTTCGTATGAAATAGTAAGAACTAAAATATGAATTGCACTGAAGCCTTCTATATTAAAAGAAAGACATCAGATCCAGAAATTTAAAATATAGATTCTGAAAGTTTACTCTGTCTTTAGAAGTGTACGTACTACCTCTTCAGATTTAACTAAAATAAAATTTACCTGAAGGTAATTGGTAGAAAAGAACAGGAATTTCATTGTAATAAAGAAACACTTATTTCATAACAAGAATAAAATTTTCCCAGATATAAATATAGCACATGGATGCTCGCAATAAAAGTTATATTTCGTTATTTGCAGAAAATTACTTCTTTTAAAATTTTAGATAGCCAAAACTTGAATATTTTCTTCATTCACAAAGTCTTCTGTAGCTGGAAACTTATGACTACGACCAACGATAGCGAAAGTAAAGGCCGAGGACTTATAAGCCGGCTAAGAGTGGGTGGGTATATATATATATATAATATATATATATACACTGCCATGTTTTATACTGCCATTTCTGATTAAAAAAAAGAAAGGTGGGCAACTGTATGATAGAAGTCCCATATACAAGGTGTATCAATGCAGCAATTACAAACTTTCTGGAGAGATAGAATACACCTAGACGATGGGAAATCACATAGCAATGCATGGTCGGAAGCGCTTTCCTGGCACGGTAGTGACGAGACGAAACGCAAAAAAGGAAGGACACGAACAATGAGATAAAACATGTTTTATTTAGTGAAGCAGAAACGTACAAATAAGAACAAAAACGAACAAGAATCGTCATTAAAGGAAGGTGTTCGAAATTACAACCCCGGACCGTGACACAGGCCTCACTTCTCTGGCGCATAGATCTACATCACAAATGGAAGATCGCATGGAAGAAGTAGGATGCACGGTTCCAGCATCATGATCCGGGTCGTAATTTCGAACACCTTTGATGAGGATCATTATCTCTTTATGTTGTTTTATCTTTGTATTTGTTGTGATCCGAATAACAAACATGTTTTCTCATCCCATTCGTATCCTTTCTTTCTTGACTTTTGTATCGTCTCTACCGCACCAGGAAAGCTTTTTCGACTATGCACTGCTATATGATTTCCCATCGTCTAGGTGTACTCAATCACTCCTGAAAGTTTGTTATCGCTGCACTGTAACACCCTGTATAAAATTTCAACGTTCTATGGCTTATCGTTTTTGAGTTATGCGAGATACATATGTATGTAAAGACATCACGAAAAAATCCATTTTAAATCCAGTTAACAATAACATTAGACATTGGTTTAGAAAATGAGTTTTTTATTCTGTCCATACTTACAGATGTCAAGCAAAAACTTTCTCCAAACAGATTTGGAAACGATCAAAAATGGATATTTCCTTTGAAAGTTTTAGTGAGTACAATACTTCCTTTACTTTGTATAAGGAAGAAAAAATAGCATTTCTAATGAAAATTTTAAATTCATCCTTTTTCATTCAGGCTTTTTGGACGTAACAGTCACCTTTCAGAAATAGGTATACGAAAACTTGGCATTAATAACTGGAACAGAAACATGGCAGTGTAAAATATAAAATTGCGTAAAAAACCACTTTTAGATTAAAGTAGTTTTTGAAGGAAATTCTGTCGATTTAGAGGACAATTGAGCAGGATCAAATCTTAAAGAAGATGCACAAAAAATAAAAATAACCCTATGCCTGCCTTCAAGAGAAAACTTTTAACATTTCCTGAAGGCCAACGGATTTTGCCTTTCTTGCGAAATTGCTTTCCTTCCTTTGTCTTTAGCATTATTTGTATGTGCTCTACTCAAAACTGTTAACTGATGATATCTAGAGTAATTCTGAATGTGATGAACATTGTGTGCGAGAGAGATAATTTATCTAAAGAAAATAATTATTATCGACTCTTGTAGCTACGATGTGGGTGTAAAAGTTCCATGCATTATCACTCCAAGATCTCATGTGGCCAAAATTGTTATAGTCTACCTTTTTCGATTAATTTCTTAGACCAAGATACTGGATATGCAATTTGATTTCAGTGTGACATTCCGGTGCGCAACCTTTCTGAAACATCCTATACACTAATATGTATTTTTATCGAACAAATTTTTTGCACATACAGCATTTGGAATCCCCTTGAGCCTAGCACTAGACAGAAACTTTGCAGAAAGTTTAATGGAGCGCTAGACATAAATGGGTTAAATTCGTATTCAGACCCAAAGCAGCATTTTGGTAGAAAACTTCAAAGTACATTTTGAAGCTTATAAAACTGAGAATTCTCAGCTGGCAGATGGCTACTATGAAACGATATTTTATTATCTTAAATTTCTGATATTAATAAAACGTTTTCTGACCTTCAACATTTAATCATTATAATCACAATTAAACTAAGGAAATTCAATAGCTTAGTAACACTTTATAGACTCTTTTTGTGTAATCATAGGTCGTTATAATTTCTTTCTGAAATTTGTAACACCTGTAATTAGGATAGTTTGCAGAGCATTAGTTATTATACTCCAAAAAGAAATTATTTTTGCATTTGAGTAATTATACTATGTTCAAAACCTTTTCATTCGATGACATGTGTGAAATATACTAGTTGAGCCGTAGAGGTCACCGTACAGGCCACAGAGGTCGCAATAGAGCCGTGCGATTAATAAACGACTGTGGAATACGAGTATTATCATATTTGCATTGCATTCAAATGTAGAATGTGAAAGTGTGAAATGTGAGTTACATATATTAACCACTGCAAGAAGATGCACGCCAATTAGACCAATTTTCGATTACTTTTTTAAGAATTCCGAAGAATTTAAATTAGTTAACATTTTCATGATACTAGCCCTTCAAATGCTGATGACAGATCTTGGTATCCTCAAAAAGATTCATCCTACTTCTCGGTACTGTACACTGTTATCTTACCAGCTTCCTGAAAGAAATATTAAGACGCTCTTAAATAAGAAACCCTGGCTCTACTGTCCATATCTCTTATTCTGAGGGCTTTTTTCCTCTTCTACCCTCGGAATATACCGCAGAAGGGCGGTCTGTGCATTCGGTCTGTGATGCATGAAATATCGAATTGAATTTCTTCATCAGGAGACAAGAGTTATCCACCAAACGAGCATTTTAGCTATGAAATAATTCTCTTAACTGCGACTGCAATTACTTAGCACTGAATTAAACTTATTGAGCCGTTCCAATTTCTAATAGAACATGTTTGTTAATCTCATGCAATTTTATTGTCTTTATTTAACTTTTACAATTTTATTAATTATCTAACATTCTTTCCTTAGTTTCACTATACGAAGCTGCTTCTGAAAGGGCTGAAACAGAAAACGAAGAAAAACAGTAAGAAGATATTATTAATTTATTTTTATTTTACAGTATGGAAAAAAAATTTATCTAGATTTAATTCGATTGCGGTAATAGTTCTGCAAAGAATATCATGATGAAAAGAGATAATTTTTTCCGATATGCAGTAAATTATTTCACTTGAATATAACGGCATGCGCTTATATGTCCATTTTCCGTTAAATACAAAAACTATGAAGCGTAGAACACTCAAAAATCAACTTAAAAAACAACTCTAAAACACTTTTCTTTTATAATTTACTTGAATTTCTTATACCTTTACAGGTTTCAGGCAATATTAAATTCAGACGGTTAAAAGTTCGGTCTTTTATCATTTTAGGTCGAGCAATTATGCTATAGCTAAATAGCAGATATAGAAGTCTGGAAGTCTGTTAAGCGTAAAAAGCGTATTAAAAAATTTTTTAAACCAACTTTGATAAAATTCTAGCGACAAGCGATGTATTTTTTCCGTATGAATAATGAAGGTGAAGAGATGAGGAAAGAAGAGATTTTTGTTGCCTGAGAATGAGAAACCCGGCGAAGAGTTTCATATTCAAGCAGCATATTTTAGGGTGAAGGAAGTTACATTTATTTTCTAAAATTTCCTTTCAAAAATTTAAATTTTGTATTCCTTTAACTAAATGGTATCCCGTTGCTAAGATAGCCATAATAAAAAAATTTACTTTACTTTAATCATTTTTTAAATCACAATCGCAGACTTACTAAACAATGTTAAAATAATACTTAACTGAAATATATTAATCAAGTTTAAAATAAACAAAAATAGTACAATGTAAAAGTTCTCACAAACAAAAATGAATTGAATGAAGAAATTTTCGTAAATTCAATCTCTATTTGTGCCAAATTTTACATTGCAATACTTTACTTACTTTAATTCAAGAAAATTTTAGCCCTGAAACCTTTTTGGAATAAGTACTGAATTTTTTGTTTCCATGTTAAATGGTAGTTAGAAAATATTTATTGAATTTTCTTTTTCCTTAGCATCAAAAATATTCGTTAAAATGCTTCGCAATAAACATGTATTAATTATAATTGCATACAGAAATTTCCCATTTGCTTCAAGGTTCCAATTTCCGATTGTGGGCACATTATTAATGAAAAACGAGACCATTAGAGACAAAGAAGATAAGACTACTAGTAGTTCGTTGCGGGTTCAAGTCCTGGCGAACGGACAAGTTGCATGAGCTTTTCGTGCTTTTATTATAAATAAAAGGTATACGAGCCAGTTTCCTTAGAAAGTCCTCCACGAAGGCAATCCTTCACAAGGCAGATAAACCTAGGGTCTCTCTTAGTAAAAAATAACAACAGTATCCTAACATTCCATTTTTACTTCCTTGTACGAAGTAAAGGATGTATTGTAAACGCGAAAAAATTCGGGGATCATATTTCTACGAAAATATCCATTTCAACTGCCCTTGAAACAATTTGAACCATGTTTTAAAGTGACATGTGTACGTACGGACAGAATAAAGTACTCTTTTTATCAAAAAAGATTGTAAAAGGAATTTAAAATAGATTCAAAAGATATTTTTCTTCTTGACGTTAGTACGTACGTACGTATCTCACATAACTCAAGAACGAGTAGCAGTAGAACGTTGAAATTACATGGGCTGCTATAACATGTAGTTGTGCACCTCTCTTTTTCCTTGCAATCGGCTGCACCAATAATATATATATATATATATATATCCTCACGCTGTTAACTGGCTCAGCGAGCTTAGTTTTTTTATTCTTATATATGTTGGTAAAGTGTACATTTTTTTTAAGTGATTGAATTATGTTGTTTTTATATTCTGGTTAAGGTTTTTATGCCTTTAGTTAGCTTGTATGCAATAGTTATAGAATTGTCAACAATTTAAAAGTTTCAGTGGCGAGTTAGGTTACAGCCGAAAACATCGCGGCAAAAACCACCGCGGACGAAAACGTCGCGGAGAAAACAACGCAAGGCGAAAACGTCGTGCTACAAAACATCGTAGGAGAAAACATCACAAAGAGAAAACATCGCAGTTCTAAAACATCGTGGTGCAAAACATCGTCGTCGAAAATAAAGCGGTTCAAAAACTTCGCAGTTTAAAAACATAGTCGTCGAAAATATCGCGGTAAAAAGTAAAGTATCTACAAATCATCGCATGACGATAACATCGCAGACATACTTTTTTGCAGGCTTTAATAACTGTAAATGGATATTCCCACAATGATTTGTGAGCGCAAGATGTAAAGAAGAATAATTTTTATTTTCACATTTTTTTATTAACTAATAAATTTTTGATGAAAATGTAAGAAGGAAACTTAAGAATAGAAAAAATAAATGCAACTTATAGATTATACTTTTTATGAAAAATTACCAGTAAAAACTTTATAAAAATGATTTATTGATGGTCTTTGTTAGTTAACTATGTCAGTTTAAAATTCTATTAAGTGCTATAAGTTGTAATAATTTTCTATGCTTAAGTTTCCTTCTTATTTTCTCAGCAAAAATTTATTAGTTAATAAAAAAAATATAAAAGTAAAAATTATCCTTCTTTCCATCTTGCGCTCACAAATCATTATGGGGATATTCATTTACAGTTATTAAAGCCTGCAAAAAAGCATGTCTGCGATGTTATCGTCATGCGATGATTTGTAGATACTTTATTTTTTACCAGGATATTTTCGACGACGGTGTTTTTAAACTGCAAAATTTTTGAACCGCTTTATTTTCGACGACGATGTTTTAGAACTGCGATGTTTTCTCCCACGATGTTTTGTAGCACGACGTTTTCGCCTTGCGTTGTTTTCTCTGCGACGTTTTCGTCCGCGATGTTTTTGCCGCGATGTTATCGGCGGACACCGCGAGTTAAGCTTAATGAAAGGCCATTTGCTTACACTTGAAATTCAGTAGAACAGTGAATTCAGTTTCTGCACTTTCAATGTCTTTTTGCCGAGTGGGAAAAGTAAACTTTCAGTTTTTTGCAAAGAAAAATCTACCTTCTTTCCCTTTGGCCAAATCGTTTGTTGTTGCAAAAAAACTCTAATTTTAACTGGAATTTTTTTTCTTACAGTTTTAGCTGTATCTGGTGTTTTATCTTTTTCTGTATTTTACTATTTTTAATGAAGATGTTTTGAATTTTTACGTATTTCTGCTTTCCTGCGAAGAATTCAGGCATAAGTAGACAGTTTCTTCTGTGATCTTAAATTAATCTTAAAAACGAGTTTTATATTTGTAATTAGATTGATAAAATGTGCATCCGCGTATATCAGATGCTACTGATAGCATTAGAAACTTTTCCTACGTATTATATTCATTTCAGTTGTTTTGATTCTTGTAATTTTCTTTGCAGGAAATGCAAGGGAATGTTGGAACCTTGCGATGACCTTTGTGAATGCTGCGACGAAGGCTACTATTGTGTTCCGAGAATAGGAGGTAAAATAAAAATGTGCGGGCCCTTCCAACCTGAAAAAGCACGAAAACACGGTTTCAACTGCACTGGAAAGTTTCTGTAGCTTTATTCTTCTATATGAAAGCAGAAGAAATTTCGTTCGGAGTGTAAATATTGACTCCTGAAATAAAGTTGTATTTCATATTTTTGGATTTTTCTCTTTGAAACCATTCACGAAATTCTTTGTCACACAAAAATGGGCATACAGATGTTTTATCATGACTAATAATATTCAACTTACTAAAACGTTACAGCCCACACCTTAACTTCTAATTTCCTACGTTAAAGGAAATTATAAATAGTTTGACAATAAAGTTCTAGGACAGATATTGTTATTCTGCCAATATAAACGACAAAAATATGGTTTGCGGTTCACTTTGGAATTATTTTCTTCCTTTCTTCCAACACATATAAAGATCTGAGAAAGTGAAACCCGGTTACATCTCTTTACTGAGACAATATCCCTTCCTGTAGCAATATATAAAACATATACTCTACTTCAAGACAAGTGAATGCTATCAACTAGTTGTTATAAAGAAACTGTGATATCGTATTTGCTGTTTTTGCCCTCTGTACCACTATGGGTACAATAAGCCTGCTATTATGTGATGTGTTTTTCTATTAGAGGTACCCCACAATCAAGTGTTGGGAGAATTAGACAGACGACATTATTTAAACATATGCTGTTGAGTTACGCGGCTTGTTGAGTTACAAGGCTCTTGAAAGGAATGCATTGAAATCTACAAGGAATGCATTGGAATCTAAAGTGAACAGTATATTATAAACTTATAACTTGTGCTGTATAAATTGTAGAACTATTTACATCATTATCACAGAAATATTCTTAGTTTAAAGGAATATTCTTACAGTATATATGCAGTTTTAAAAATAATTCACCGAAATATTTCTATAATGTTAATAAGATCACGGTACAGACAGCGTGAAAAAATATGCGAGTTACCAGAGTAGAAAGATTTAAAAACATGGGTAAATGAGAAATGGGAAGATTAAACGTTATGTGAGACTGACCAATGTACTTTGCAGTGTACTCTAAGTTAGGAGTAATGGGCTATGTGAAAAGCCTAAAAGTTATCAGCATGAGCGTTAATATTTGTAACTAACTTAACAGCTTTCTTTAGACCTTTACCATTTTCCACTAGTCGAGCTGCCTAGATGTAAAGATATTTTTCAGACGGCTCTGAGATATGTATATCTTGTACTAGGACTCATTACTGATAATAATGCTTCATATAACCTACTTTGCCACAAGATTACTGACTGGAGTCCCTAAGGCAGAGCCTGTGCAGATAGGCCGGTGTAATAGAGTGTTCAGTAGAAATTCTCAGCCACTTGGGGAAGAAGATTAATCCTTCGAAGTCACATCTGTAGGAATATGGCACTTAATTCTTTCTGAACAGCCATGCGCCAGCAGATTATTTGTTAGTCTAGTGAGGGATTCCAAACTTTAAACATCCAGTTTGTTCCTTGGACTTGGCTGCTGCTGAATTCGTCTTATTTCCAAATTGAAACTGACATTTATAGATGATGATTCATGAGGTGTTAAGGAAATCAGGAAAATCATGACAGTCAAAACTTTAGAATATTCCAATAAATGGCATCAAGATCTTTACTGAGCATCTTTTGAAGCGATAAAATCTGTATGTCGAAAAGAAAAAGTTTTTTTTTTTTTTTTTTTTTTTTGAAAGTTTCGAGAGAAAAGTTTCAAACGAAACTTTGAGTAATCTGTATCACAGTTTGCTATAGTGCCCGCCAATAGCAGACTTGTAGCTTTATTATCAGATCTTCTGAAACCTAATTGTTCGGCCCCATCGGGAGCAGGTTGGTTGGTTATTTGAATAAAGTAAAGCATACGAAGGATATATACCTAAGGAGAGAGATGTCTTAGTGGAGGACTTTCTAAGGAAATCTTAGCTCGTGTTCACGTTACCTAGGGAAAAACAATGAAACTGAATTCCGCAGCTAGTCTGTTCCTTTGGGTCAAAACCGGGGACGAAATGCCGGTATTTATCAGTCTCTAAAAATGCTCGGTAACTCCATGAATAGGAGAGAGGCTGTGCGTTAACGATTCATTACGGTTTTGATTCCCGATAAACAAGCTGGCTGTATTGGAGATTTTGTGATTTTTTTCTCAGATGCAACATTAATAATTTGTCCTCGGAAAATCGTGGAGGAAGGGATTCTATCCCAACCGAAATAGGTTTAACATGCTTTGTCGTAATCAATTAATCAACTAAATATTTATCTGAAGTCCATATATCTGAACTTCTATCATCTGAATGGCTTGTTTTTAAGCCAACTTTAACTAAACTTTGTTGTCAATTTATTTACATATTTACTCAGGTAGTGGTTCTCAGTCATTAGAACAATATGAACCACTGAAACAAAAATTACATCTGCAGTGAATCAAAAGAACATTAGAGCAAAACAAGTCTTTAGACACGCTAAATAAGAATGAAGTCTGGACTAAGCAAAAGCGTTTTCTTCCATGGGAAAAGATATATAAAGCTCATAGTTTACAAATGTGGAGGTTATACTTCGCATCATCAAGTTTTAAGTCGCCAATTTGCTTATTTTTTGTGCGCTGTTTTTCAAATTTTGTCTTAAAATATTTATATACATAAAACTATCAATTTTTCCATCAATAAAATATAGAATTCTAAGGCTGCAAGCATTCATATTACCCAAGACTGTCAAACTACTACCATGTTTTACCGAACAAGTAAGTTTCTTCACTTGAAGTTCATTACTTTCGGTTACAAATGCAGCCTGATTTCCAGAAATGCTGAGGTATTTTAACAAGGATCGTAGTAAATTGTAATCATGTCCTTCTATTCGATTTACTGAGAGAGGGTTTTCTTCTAGATATTCGGCCATGAAAATTATATTTCCTTAAAATATTTCTAACACTTCCTGCATTACAACATTTGCTAATTATTTGTTGCGTTTTTCAAGTCAGTATGATTACATTTGTTTTAGAATTATACATAGCATTCCTAATGGTCCATTAATCTTCGCATTCAGTGCTATTTCTGACTAAAACTGAACAGTGGGAATATCTAATTTGTATATAGCAATCACACAGTGAGAAATGGACTTAACAGTAATACTATGGTCCCTGCCGCGCCTGAGCTATCTACAGCCTTGAGCTGACTATTAAACGGAGTAGGCGCTCAATCCCGGAACGAATTCTATTGTTTGCTGTAAGAGTCCAAGATTTGTAGGTATGGTACGTGAAAGTAGGGATGAGCTAAGAGGAGAAAGAAAAAGGAATTTTGAGTATAGGGAATTTCAGTCGTTCCGGGATTGAGCGCCTGCTATGAAACTAGCTCCTACTTTGTGAGCGTAGCTAGCGTTTCGTTAGTAACTATATTATTTATTATTCTTATTGATTGTCTGCCCCCCCTTTTTTTACAGTTACAATTTTCTACAATACCTTAAGTAAATAAAAACTTTACAGTTACGTATTGTAACTTCATGTAATACTCTGACTTTACCGTAATAAGAGTTCTGATAGATATTAAATTTCGTAGGAATAAACAAAATTATGTAATTTCGCCAAAACGTTATGCCTTTAAGCAAATTTTAAATAAGCAATACAATTTTACATTGCAAACACTGTATTCTCTACGCATATATATATATATATATAAGATATATATATATATATATATATATATATATATATATAATATATTTATTTTTTTGTTTCATAAATTGATAAAAATTCAATCTGTCCTTAAACAAAATGTTCAATAAAACATGAAGGATAAAAATAAGCAATGAAACTCCTTCCACGGTTCCGGAATAAGTCAGTGAGCATATCCATTTTTTCCCTAGTACCCATTGAAAGCCATTCCACTATCTAATTATTTCCGTTGGAAACAATTCCGGAACCTTTCCTTTCTATTCCTCTCACCTGCGTATATTGAGCTCGCCCAGCTAACAATAGCAGGCATTCCGAGATTTGACGGTCTAGTATTAAACGGTGGTTGTAGTACTTGTAAAGGCAGCTAATTTTCGCGGTTGCCGACTACGCAGCGAAAGACCGCCGCGGGATTGTATGGATATAGCAGTCTGATTAGCTGGATGATCTGATACGGATGAGGAAAGCACCGCTATTCATCAAAGTAGCAGGTAAGACGAGACTTTTTTCCTTTTCCCTTCCCTAGTTTTAGATTAGAGAGAATTCTATTGTATCTTAACAATAAGTAGGAAGCAGTTCATCTGTTACCGCTCCTTCCCCGACAAGAAGATTCGAAGTTCTCCCTATGTACACAGCGATTTGGTTTCGTTTAAAAAACATAAAAGAATTGCACAATTCGGGATTATGACCAGCTTCGGCCCTGTGCACATTAAATAATGTATATATTATATTATACACTGATAAACTTTCTCCCAAGTTAACTTTCTCCCGTGAAGCTTTACAAATGTTTTGGGTTACCGCCATCTAGACAGATTTCGCTCAAACGTTTGTATTTGGCATTAAGTAGCACCCCGTTAACAAAAAGCTAATGCTTTCATTTAATTATTATTTAGAATAACAAAATCCCCACTAATGTCTCATTTCTGAATAAATCCCAGTAAATTCGAACTTGATATAATCGTTGTAATATCAAGTTCGAATAACATGAACTCGTTGTTATGGTTCCGTTTCCGCGCCATATTTTGTTTAATAATAGAAAGATAATCGCATTACTTGAACTTGATTAGACTAATAAATAGAACACCAGAGAGATCAACCGTTACTTCGTCAAACTCGATGACCAAATTGTGGCAAATATGTGGATAAAAATAATCCAAGAAACAACGCGTGTGACAAAACAGTTTCAATAGGCAACGTCGCCATTTTAGTATATGTTCTTTTTGTGTTGTTTCAATGGATTTTTTAACCAAAGCTCTCTATTTTACATAAATCGTTATATTAACTCGATTTTAAAATCTTCACTTATAAAACTTATTTGCGACAGAAGAAATTGTCTTCACTTCCTTCAGGAACAACGTATTTTACTGAAAGAATTGCTGGAAGGAAAAATGGTTTTGAATCTCTTCTTAAAGCGAATCGCCACAAAATTTTCAACAGAACCCTCCGCCTCCAACAAAAAAAAAAAAAAAAAAAAAAAAAA